TTCTGACCTGGTTTTCATTTGATTAGATGACAAACGATATTTTGGAAGTTTCCCTGCAGACATTAGATGAGCTGTAGATAGTCACTTCTTGAATATTTAGGATCTAAATGAATCAAATACTTTGGATTTAAACGAGCTCTGACAGGTAGAAGCTGCAGATCCTCAGGTCTCAGGGGTTTGAGCTCGTTTCAGTGACTGTTGACGTGAAGTCTGATCATTTTGTTATTGAGTCAAAATGTGTTTGCAAAGAGAAATAAATAATTTTTTATCAGCATGAGTCTGAAAGTTTCAGATTAAACTAAATAGTCCAGTTACAGTTTATATTCCCAGCTCTCTCCAAACTGTTATTTGATGATATAGTGATTCCAGTGAGACACCTTCACTTACAACCAGGTTTTATTTCACAGGACTGACGGAAAGATTCGTCACGATGCAACAACAGTCTCCTGAAGAAACAACCTCTGATCCATCAGACGAGCGCAGGCCTCAGGTCCTGGTGTCCCCGGGGGGACGCAGGTGGAGGTGGGGTGGACTCTTCTTCTTCTTCTGCTGCTGAATTCAGTTCATTTAAAAAGAAAGAATCAAACTCCTAGTTCTAAACTCAGGCGTAGCCATGACAACAGACGATGCTCCAATCACGGATGCTGCAAAGATCAGTGTCATCACCTCAGAATCTCTGACCTCAAACATGGAGGTCGTTACAACGTCAGAGTGAAGCTGACCTTGGACATCAGGGACAGAGACTGTCTTTTATTCATTTAGACTTTTTTGTGGAATTTGAATACCTTAACCCTAATTTAGCTTAACCTTATGGTAACTTAACTCTAACTTATTTTAACTCTATGGTAACTTAACTTAACTCTAACTCTAAAACCAAATCTTGACCCTAAAAAAAAGAGGTCTGGCCAAAATGTATACGTCTGTGCTCAGAATGGTACAAGTACACACACACACTAACACACACACACACACACACACACACTTTGCTCAGATGCATTTCCGGTCCTGTTGTCTTATGGCTCTGCTCGGGACTCTTAAAGGGACATTCCACTAATCCTAATCCTGAGCTTTTAAAAGCTTCTGTAATGGAGATCTGTCTCCTGAGACCCCCCCCCCCCTCCAGGCGGCTTCATGACGGTTCTAATTGTCCACATCTTGTCTCTGGTTTCAGGCCTCGGACTTCTGAGATGATGGTGAAGTTTATCGGACTTGATTCTTCTGAAACAGAAATGATTCAGTGAGAAATGAGTTTGACTCAGACACGGTGAGCTCTCTCTCCTCCAGTCGAGCTTCTTGTTCACAGAAGTTTTGATTTTACACGAGGGTCAAACTTTCCTTCACTGTTTGTTCTGGACCAGAGCGTCTGTCTGTCAGGTCCCGTAGTTAGTGTCCACAGCAAAGACAGCGACGGGGGGGGGGTTCCACAGCAGAGACTGAGGGGGGCAAGTAGAAGCATGCTGTACACACACACACACACACACACACACACACACACACACACACACACACACAC